TATGGTATTTAGGTTTCTTCTATATGGAAGTAAAACAAGGAAGGGTGCTGTGGATGAGGTGGGAAGACAGGTTTGGTTTTTGCACCAATCTGAATGAAACCATTGTTTCAGGGTGAGAAGAGAAGAAAAGTTTCTTGTAAAGTTCTCGTAGACTCATCTACTGTTGATTTCACTTCCAGCCACCATTTGTTTGATGTATAATTTAATCAGGTAAACCTGGTCTTAATAAGGGATGTTGCTTCTTTGCATTACAGACCCTTTTCTGTCAAACCGTCCATTGGGACTCTTGGAGTAAATGAAACCACACAATTCACTATTGACTTTTATCCAGAAAAAAGTGGCAACCACTGTAAAGACCTTGTTATACATTACGATACAGGTGAGAACAGGGAAATCATTTTTTTTTTCATTTATGTAATCCTGAGATTTCAGAGACTTTGGATCCTAGCAGTGCACCCTACATTTATTCCTTTTTTAGTGCATAATACTAAAGTGACCTATGATTAACTTGCATTGCTGAATGAGATTTTCCTTGCAGCTGATGATACTGTAGATAAGCCACTCCCCATGAAAGAGAAACCCTACCATCTACTCTGAGAACTGTTAGGGAGATGTCTTCACCCTCTTCCTCTTACACAATATACCAGCACTGACCTGCCTCTTATTCTTCTGGAATGCACCCTTTTCCTCCAGGAAATTCAGAGTACAAGTAGTCCTTGATTTACGACCATTTTGTTTAGTAACCGTTCAAAGTTACAACAGCACTGAAAAAATGACTTATGACATTGTCAACTGTCCCACCAGTGAACCCGAAATAAGGAAGCACTCTCAGGAGCTTTGAATTTCCCAAAGTAAAACTTTCTTAGATACACCATTTTGGTACTGAAGAATCAAAACGAGCGGTGGTTTCCCATGCAAATGCTTGCTTAGTTAAACAACAGCTTCCTTTCTCCCCACCCTTGAGATGTTCTTGTGTTATGGGAAGAGTCCATCTCTTTCTCAAGCACCTGCAGGGGTGATCTTGATGGTTGACAGGCTCTCACAGTCTACACACACGTTCTCAGGATTGTATTTCCCCCTTTCCTCCCCCAGTTCATTGGTAGTTGAAAAGGTTTGAAAGGGGCAAAGCAGTTGAATTTTGATGGACTGCTTTTCACACTTACGACCATTGCTGTATCCCCCTGATCATGTGGTCAAAGTTCAGATGCTTTGCAACTGACTCCTAGTTATGATGGTTGTACCATCCTGGGGCCATGTGATCCCCTTTTATGACCTTTTGACAAGCAAAGTCAATGGGGGAGCCAGATTCACTTAATTATGTTACTAATTTAACAACTGCAATGACTGGGGCCAAAAAGTTTGTAAATGAGGCACAACTCACTTTACAAGTGTCCTGCTTAGCAATGAACATTTTGGGCTCAATTGTGGTTGTAAGTTGAGGAGTACCTGCACTACATTCCTTCACTTCAAGAGAGTCCTTTAGTTACTCTCCCAGAGCAGGGATGTCAAACTCGTGACGACCTGTTGTCGTCACATGATGTATCTCAATTTTTTCTCCTTTACTAAACTGGGAGGGGGGCAGCACGTGACACATCCAGTCCATGGGCTGCGAGTTTGACCACCCCTGTCCCAGAGTATTGCACATTTTGCTCTTGATTGATCTTGGATGGGGTTTCTGGGGAGGGTAACAAAGGGGTTGAATTGCCTCCATTTCTATATAATGTGTTTGACAGTGGATTTTGGAAATAGTTTGGTGATCTTTTCAAGTTTCATGAGCAAGAACAACTGTTTTTCAAAATCTCAAAAAATTTGCTTTTTTTGATCAATGACACATTGCTACATTCCTGTGTTGTGTGAAGATCAGACTTTGATAATCCATATTCAGAATGCTGTTCTTTAAATAAATCAGAATCTCCCACACTCACACCTGATTATCACCCCATTGATTAAAACAATTGACACTAATTTCCCCTTCAAATGAACTGAAAATCCTAGAACAGAGGTGTCAAACTAGTGACTCACACCCACCCCAGCTCCACAAAGGGGAAAAATGTTGGGAAATGTCACGTGACAGCAACGTGATGCTGCGAGTTTCACAAGACTTATCCTAGAGGTTCACTTACTTACACAAGCATAATGTTTTTGACTTATTTAATTAAATTCTCTATTTATTTTTAGGATGTGTGTGTGAATGTTTTCAGTCATATTTGTGCAGAAATACTAAAAATTCAAAAGGTTGCACAAATTTGGTTGTCCTAACAAACTAATTTAAAGAATATGGTTCTTTGCTTGAATTACTATAAAATAAAATAATGTTTTATGAGATTAAATCAAATGCTTTTTACAAAAGATAGACATAGCTAACATAGTTGATTTAAAAATTTTCTGACCTTCCAAGGAGAAGACATTCATGTCAATTTATATGGAGCTGCTACAGATGTCAATGTGAGATTGGATAAGAATTCCTTGACAATCGAGAAGACTTATATCACTTTAGCCAACCAGAGGTCTGTGGTCATACACAATTGGAGTGATATCATTGCACATTTTCAGTGGAAGGCATTTGCAACACATGAAAAGGAAGAAGAGAAAAAACAGATGTAAGTTTGGAATGAGACCTTTTTTTTTGAGTAATGGACGAGGAGTACATTTTTGTGCACACTAAACTATTTCTTAAATTTGTTGCAATTTTACAACACATAACAGTTTATAATAATATAATTTTTATGTTTTATTTTTATCCAATTGCAGAATTCTATATTTCTTCCTATTTTATTCCATCATATTCATTTTAACACTCTACTCACTTTCAGCCTGTTGGTTGAAAATTTTCTTTATTTAGAAGCAGCTTTGTTTTTTTCCTGCAGATAATGGCTGAATAATCACTAGCCTTAAAAATATGACAAAAATGAACTTCATTTTATAGAGAGCCAGACATTTTTATCTTGATATTCTAAAATGTCACTAAAGAATAATTCCTCACAAGTATAGGGAGAAAAATAATCCGGAAAGGCTTTTTCAAAGGCAACACATCATTGTTTAAAAGTTTACACTTTTTTTTAGTTTCACACTTTGGAGGCTGATGATTGGTTCAATGAGGGCAGGATCCTAAGCAGATGTGTTCCTGCGAGGGAAAAGAGCACTCAAAGATTAGAAAGAATGATTTGGTGATCATTTCTGCTAGTTCCGGGCCAGGGAGTCTTGAATTTGTTTAAATTAGCTAAGTGTGGTCTGTGATTGTAATAAAGATTGATTGATTGAGAATCATAGAATCAAAATCATAGAGATAGAAGAGACTTAATCTAGACCAGGGCTGTCAAACTCCTGGCCTATGGGCCAGATGCATCATGCGCTGGTCAGGCCCATGCTTGGTTTAGTGAAGGGGGGGGAAGTCCTAATAGGTCACATGATGCTGCCGTGATGATGTGAGTTTGACACCCCTGATCTAGACCAACATCCTGTTTAGGGCAGGAATTCTCATAACCTCATTTTTTTTCTTGTGTGGGGTTTTGTTTGTATGCAATTCGGCCCACCCTACTTCCTTATACAAGAGCTCTTTTAGTCTAATGGCTAAGGTGCTGGACTAGAGAAGAGACATCTGAATCCTGACTCTCTTTTAGGCTTGGCAACTGACTGAGTTGGCCTCAGGAGAAAAACTGCATGGATTTGTCCCCAGGCCTGCCAGGAGCCAAGGTGCCTCTATGGCACAAACAAAACTCCACGCAGAACTCATTTCACAGAATTTCCCATTCTTCCTGGACAGGTTTCTCCTATAGAATTTCAGGTCAATGGAAACACATACCAGTTTATCAAATTCTGCTATCCTATGGTCACTTCCTCACAGGTCCGGTCCTTTTCAGTTATCACACCTTTGACTATTATGAATGCGATGATCCTCATAGTGTCTGTCCCCTTTGCTTCTTAATCAAGCATTCTTTGGAGTCTGTTACAAAATACAACATTTTATCTCTTTCTTCGGGGGGGCTCTAGGATGTGTCAAACCCTGCAGGCTGAACAAAACAGTGTGCTTGATCAGCTTCTGGTGGAATGTAACATGAATCCAGCACTTCGTGAGCATCTCTCTATTGTCACCCGTACCTTTGAGAACCGACGGGCAACTGTCCATGAAGATGTAATGCTCTTCAACAATAAAGTCTTTTCCATTGAGCCTCTGGTGAGAAATTCTGTAGGACAGGGGAGGAGAGGGGGGTAAGCAAGGGAATAGATTGGTAGAATTTTTTAAAGTGCTTTAGATGCCTTTTATGTAGAACAGAGCCTTCATTAGTGACCTGAAGGCTCAGATGTGAAACTTGAAGGAGTGGTAATCCTTCAAATGCCCAGGGGTGTATGTGTGATATGTCAAACACCAGCGAAATCAGGAGAGTCAGGCAGTTCAAATGTGTATAAAGATTTATTGTAAGCTTAAGCTCTTTACAAGAATCCAAACTACTAATGGTTAAGTGAAATTAGCAGGAGTTAAGAATAGAGAGGAATTCAAGGTGGGCTGGACTTAGATCTCTTGTAGGCACAAAGGGACTCATGACTGATGACCCGTTTGACCCCTCCTTCAGGCTCAGCCTGGCCGTCCATAAACCCAAATAGCCGATCTTGAAGTGTTATGCCAACAATAGGCTGATGTATTCAGCACTGAGCTGGGACAATACAAAGGGGCACCCATTTCACTCAACCTCAATCCAACAGTAACTCCAATCCGATTAAAACCATGCAGGGTTCCCTTTGCATTGAAGCTAAAATTGATGCAGAACTAGACAAGCTGGTACAGCAGGGAGTACTCAACCTATGAACTGTACCCATTGGGAGACTCTTATAGTGACTCCAGTTAAGTGTAACAAGGATATTTGCATCTGTGCAGACTACAAGTGCACCATAAACAAGGCACTACAGCAGCATGCTTACTGTGATGACACGGGGCAAGGCACAAAGGCAAAACAGTCAATGTATCCTGCCACTGCGCCTCCTGAATCCTGACTGGAAAGTCCACAGGGTCCTCAGTGGCTGCAAACCACTCCAACGGGATCACCATCTGAGGCAGGATTTTGTCCTCCCTTTGGGTATACTCGGACTTCTGGGACAATGCATCAGTGCGCTGATTCCACCCACTCGGAACATAGGTCACCCAGAAATCAAAAGTGAAACACAGTGACTATCACATCTGAAGCTGGGTCAGTGTCCGGGCTGTACGTAAGTGTTCCAGGTTGCAATGGTCCATCTGAACCTCGACCTGGTGGCGAGCCCTCTCCAGATGGTGCCATGTCTCAAAAGTGACCTTAACCGCCAATAGCTCCTTGTCCCATATAATTGTGCACTGGAGCCAACAGCTTCTGACAATAATAGGCGCATGGGAACAAGGTGCCTGGTGGCATAGGCCTGGAGGAGCACCGCCCCAACGGCCACATCAGAGGCATCTGTTTCCACCGCGAACGGCTGGAATGGATCAGGGTGTTTGAGGATGGGCTTGGAGGCTTCCTGCTCCTCAGCACCTGCACTAGGAAGAGGATGAGAGCAGATGCCAAGAACAATGTTTCATCAGGCCATGCTTCAGGCCAAGTCTGCTCCTGGAGAGCTGGCTGGCTTGTTCTAGCCTCTCTGCTTCCTTGGGGATTGGGGAATGGGCTTCCATGGATTTTATTACAGATACTCCTTGGGTTTCAACCATTGGTTCAGTGACCATTCAAAGTTATGGTGCTAAATGAATGGTACTTGTGATGGGTTCCCTTAGTTCTGGCTGCCACAGTGTTCCTGCAATCAGGTGATCATGGTTTCTGAATTTTGCTTAATGGCCCATGTGGCCCTTGTTTAATGATGGCAACCAAGACAGCCAGAACTCTCATTGCTAAATGATGTGGCCATGTGCCAACACACTTTCTAATTGCATTGGAATCCAGTCTTTTTTCCTGTGGATCACTACTTGTGCTTCAGGTCTTCCTCCCCTGCTTTTAACAGCCTAAAACTCCCAGCAAAGCCCTGAAAGTTGCCCTTCCTTCCAGGAAAAAGAGGGCTCTCCCGAGCAAGTGAGAGGGCAGCAGAAAGGCTGCCAAGTTGCTTGATTTGCTAGGTGAGGCAACTTGTGTTTCAATTAAGCCATATGGTTTTATTTATACAGTATATAATTCTGGTTTCTAATTCAGATACATGGTTGTGCAGAATGGTTTTTGAGTACAGAAAGCAAACCTGCAGAGCAACAGAAACCAAAGCCTTTGTTTGAGTAAGATTTCTCACATTCTTTTCAGACATTATCCAAGTTTAAGAAGAAGCAGCAAGATTCAGTTGCACTCTTCACTGCATCATTTAGCTTAAAAAGTTTCTTTTGGCTTCTTTTCTGTCCCTTTTGTCATCCAGAATAATATTGGTAACAATTGTAAGTGTCTGTTCTGGAATTTTAGAAAACAGAGCTGAAAGACAGACATTCTTGAGCTTTCATATTCATTGTCTTTATTCTACCTTTCTTTAGGAGGGAGATGTTTGGCCCAATTCTACAACTGAAATCAGTGTGATGTTCAGGCCACAGGAAGCTGGGATGTATCTTCAGACGGTCTACTGTGATATTACGGGTATAACCTTAAATACATATTCCTATTTTAGGATACATGTGATTTCAGTTTCCCAGTCTTGTGAAAGCTGGTCCTGATATCCTGATCCTCAATTACAATAAACACAGGAATTTATTTCAGTCATAATTAAATAGGAGCCTATGGCAGGAGTTACAAACCTTGGTAACTTTAAGATTTGTGGACTCCCCGAGGAATTCTGGGAGTTGAAGTCCACAAGTGTTAAAATTGCCAAGGTTGGTGACCTCTGGTCTATGGAATAGGATGACATATGTCATCTGCTCTTCTGGACAAAAGAAAAGCAGCAGCTCTGAGCTTGTTTAACTCTCCTTTATTGAGAATCAAGCTGTCTTGTATGTAAAGCCTCTTTACTTTTTTTTAGCAGCCATTAAAGCTGGTAACATCCCTTTTTATACATCAATTTCATCTGAGATGCACAAGTCTTTCCAAGATGGAAGCCTTAACAGATTGTCTGTATGGGTTTCCAAAGATCCATTAAGAGTCTGTTCTATTATGCCATTGTGAATTGGCATTGTATCCTACTGCCATTTGCCTAGCTGCAATTTGAGCAATAGGTATTAGATGCTGCACCAGTGGTGGTATTCTACCAGTTCAGCCCATTCTGGCATACCGTAGTGCCGAAGATCAGCCGAGACCAAACCAGTTCTCTCTGAGGAGCTGCTATTGGGCCCACCCACCCGCCTGGGCTCCCATACTGACCTTTATTCCCTGCTTTTGGAGTGCAGCTGCTTTGCGCTGCACAGTAGATTGCTGCGTGTCAGCTGCTGAAGCGACAGGGAGAGTGCAAGATTGCAGGAGGTGAGTCAGAAAGCCTGTGCGCCTGCGCAGTGTGTGTCTTTGGCACATGTGCGTGCACAAGGTGCATGTGTGCACGCAAAGCGCATCCACCAAGCCACGCCCACCGCATTGGTGGTAAATTATTTTGAAACCCACCACTGCACTGCACCTTTAAAACCACCCATTTGGTTTTGGTATGTGAGCTTAGTCTGGAAAGCTCTTCAAACATGGTTTTAAAGCAACCTTGGGGAACCCATGGGAACAGGGAAACTGTGAGATGGTTATATTGCATTTAGAATGCTGTCCATTCTCACACAGTAGTTTATAGTTTTTTAACTTTTATAGTTTTTTAACTTTGATATATCTCTGCTCAGAGATATATTTGTGAGATGGGCAGCTTTAAAGCCTTGAAAACAAACAATAATTCTTAAGGTTACACCCAAGCCATATATATTAAACTTTTGATGTGAACTCTTTAATACTAAAAGACCAAACATTTGCCTAATTCAAAGAGCTTAATTGAGGCTTCTGAAGTTGAAAACCTCAAGTAGATATTCCTGATGCTAGAGGTCCCTCTTGTGGCTGCAAAATAACTTGTAAAATGAGGGTGAAGGTTCGTTCTGCGAGCTTGTGGGTTTTGTTAGCAGGCTAGGTAATATCGTCAGCGGTATTTAGGGGATGCTAGTGTTCTTCAGTTTATAAGGGCTTCAGGTGTGGGTGTCAATTGAGGGTCTTGCGGTGGATTATGAGATGGCTCAAGTGTGAGTCATCTGTGAGAATCTTGTGATAGGTCTTTTGATAAGGAGGTTACATCAGGTCAGGGTCATTGGGGGGATTTGTGTGGGTTGGTCGAGGATTGGTGCTGTCTCTGGTTGGCTGTGCAATTGATTTGGATTCTAAGGGGTTCGTAGGCTGGTTGTAGCCCAATGTGTCTGTTGGTGGCATTGCTTGTGGAGTGCCAGGCTTCAATGAACTCATGAGCGTGATGGGTGGTAGTGTGGCCAATGCTTTTTGTGTTGCTCCAATCAAACTGGTGCTGTTTGGTGTCGGGGTGGGTAGAGATTAAGGATTTGGGATCATGGCATTTGACTGCCAGCCAATGTTCGTGGATCCTGGTTTTTCATTGACGTGATGTTTCTCCCACGAAGAATTGATTACAGTTGATTTTGTAGATTGCATTGTTTCTTTCATCCTTCTATATTTGTCTTTGGTTCTGGATGATTTCTGGCAGAGTGTGGCTGTGGGTTTGTGAGCTATTGTTTTTCCTAAGGATTGGAGGATTCTGGCTATTATGTAAAATTCATAAAAAGGAAGAAAAGAAAAATGGTGAAAGTAAAATAAAATCAAGAAAATACTGTTTTTGCTGAAAAATCCTTGCTATGTTAGCCAGATATAGAACATAGACCCATACAGGGAACTTGGAGGTCTTCTAGTCCAACCCCCTGGTTCCATCCTAGTCAAATGGCTGTCCTATCTATTCTTGAAAATCTCCAGCAATCAAGCCCCAACAATAACTTGTAACTATCCTTGTCCCTATTACAAGTACTCTACATGCATAGTTCTGAAATTATTTTAGCATGAAATTGGAAATCCTAATATTAAAACAAAAGTTCAAGATTTCTAATGAGATACTCTTATGTGAATGAGCTTTAATTAAAACCTGAAATTTTACTTTGACTGACTTGAATTCATCACTACCGATTGGAAAACCATAGGCTGCTTTCAGAGCTAGGTGAGCTGTTGTGGCCAGTTAGATGCCTCTGCGAGAGGCTTTGCAAGCAGAGGCAGCACAGTGGTGGAATTGCCAGCCAGGAGATGGTTCTGGCTGACAAAAATTTTCTCTAGAGGAAGCAGAAATTGCTCCCTTGTGCTCTGGAAAAGCTGCTTCTCACAAGGAGACAACAAGGAGAATTTAGTTTCTTTTTGCCAATGTGCTCGGACAGGCTCAGGAGAAAATCCCACTTGTCCCCTTTTGAGCTGCCATCTCGACTCCCACTGGTTATCCAGAATAGTTGTATTGACAAGTTCCTAAGCAAAGTGCCCACCAGAGATTGGAAACTTACCCACCCTCATTCCCAAAGGCACTGATTGCTGCTCATGCTCAAATTCCTGCCACCTCAGAAGAAGCCTTCACTAATCAGTTCAGGTAAAAAGACCTGACACTCAAATGTGAACATGCTAGTCCATGTACGACATGCCATATGATGAATAAATGAATAAATAGCAGAACTCCAAGGCAAGAGAGTGATGTGTGCACAGCTAGGGGCAAAGCTTAATGCCTCCACTTTCTGATCTTGTTTGTTCTGTCAAATATTGTTTAAAGAATTGTGCCACCATTAATTTCCTGAAGATGAGTTATCATTTCTACAGGCCGAGAAACCAGGCTCCCTTTACGTATCAAGGGGGAGGCAATAGGCCCCAAGCTACTTTTCAACTTTGATCAGCTGGACGTTGGGAAAATTTTTGTGGGATCATCTCACAGTTATGAGGTAAGTTCAGTTGTTACAGTGGGGTCCTGGGTACTCTCTGAGCGTGGTTGTTTGCTTGCAGATGTTTCTTTACCTGATTAGATAACATCAGCAATGCTAGGGATTGTGGGGTTCACTCACTCATTGTATATACCGTAATAGCTTGTCTTGCCAGTGCTGGATGAGGGTATTGTTTTCTTTTTTTTTTAACAAGTTTTATTGATTTTACAAACAAACAAACAAAACAAAACATCATTAAACATTAAAAACACAAAACCTCTTTCCATTGTAGATCCTTACAAGGCAGGTAACATATTGCTTTATATCACGTACTTATAATTTATCCCATTTCCATATAAACACGTAAATTCCCTTTACCAAATTCCACATTGTTTCTCTTTAATCATTATTCAATCATATTTCCTTTCTGATTTATCTGCTATCCAGTCATCAACTTTATATTTTCCTCTGGCTTGTTTATAATTATTCTCATCTAGTCTTCCTCCGAGGTTTTATTATTTAATTCTTAATTAAACACACATACATAAGACATAGACATAAAAACATAAAACTTTCTTTTAGAAAGTAACTTGGCCCCAGATTACCACTTTTTGTATGGACTTCAATTGAATTCATGCTCTTCTTATATACCATTACCCATCTTATTTACCATTCTATATCTATTATATAACTCCTCTCCACTTTTGCCTCCTCTTAATTCTGTTTTATATATTTAATCTTGCTTTAAAGAAAAATATTTTTATATCTTTTGTCCATTTACATCTGTCTCATTTCCAATTTAAGAAAGAATAGTTTCCCCTGGAATCACTAATCGGAGTATGATGCCTTTCTATCATTCCCCTAAGTTAAAATTTAAAATAACACCTAAATCCCAATCAGATTCTGCTTAGTACATTCTACTATTTCAGAAACCAATACTACAATAATAAATCCATAACAATCAACACATTAATCCATTGAACTCTATATTCAAACTAATATTTTAAACATTCCCTTTAGTATTTTATTAAAACTTATTATCATTCATTATTAAACCTTTTAAAGTTATACCTTGATATTTTAGTCTTTTATTAGATCTTAAAAAGTTCTGATTATCTACTTATAATACAAATACCACTATTACAATACTCATGTGTACTTTGCAGAATCCCCCTTTTTAAAAAATAAAAATGAAATCCCATATATTACCCATTATCCCTAAAAAAATTTTCCTTTTCTCCATCTTGTCTTATTCCTTTGTAACTTTTTTCCCCCTTTTCCCTTTCCTTCTTAACCCGCCTAAACTTTTTACCCCCTCCTCTCCAAACCTCTGCCTTCTTGATTTCCCCTTTCTGTTGCATTCCTCTTTCCTTTTGCTTTCTAGCATTCTGTTGTTTTTGCATCTTCTTTTTCTCTTTCATAAACATTTTTTTATTTCTTAAGTCCTTCCTTTTCGCTCCTCTCTTTCTCCTTTCTTTCTTAGACACACTGTTTAGTTCATTAAAAATGGCTTCTTCTTCCTCGGCTTCTTCCAGCTGTTGTTTAATTTGCTGACACATGACAAGCGCCATATCTAGAAAACAAAGGGCTTCTCCCATAACATCTTTGCCTTCTTTCTTTATTTTTAAATATTGTTTTTTTAATTCATCAAGAGATAGAGCCATTTTGAACTGTTTCTTCTTCTCTTTCTGTATCCTCTTATTATTATTAAGCCAATCAATTATTTCCAAACTTAAAACAGTTCCCAAAAGTCCCAAAATCCCACAGTCATCAAACAGTCCAGGCAGAGTACAAGCTTCTTCTTTTTACAGTTTCTTTTCTAGGAGTGTAGTCAAATTAGGGAAAGCAGAAACGTCCAATCTGTGCTTTAAATCTTTCTTAGAATTAATTTGTATTCTCTTTATCTTCAAGGCATCTCCTCCAGCAAAGTCTTAGAGTAAAGATTTGTTTTCCCAAGCCTCTCCCTTCCCACTTATAACAAAGGAGTTTAGGTTTTACCTTCTATCAAAAGGCTGGTTTCCCTTGTCCATTTGTTAATTCCATAAGGGAGGGAGAGTAACTTCCCCTTTTCGTCACTTTTCTTCGCAGCTGAAAACATCAATCGGGAACATTATAGCTTCCAAGTCATTACTTTCCCAGGTGTTAAATATGTCCTTAAGGTCCCAGTTCGACCAAGAAAAAACTTCCTTTAAAAAAAAAAACTCCTTCTCCCTCCTGTGCATTCTTTATCCAATTGCTGGCTTCTTTATGGTGGCCATAAAAGACCACCGCTGCACCGTCTTGAGAGAAGGGGGTTATTGCCGGCTGGGGGGGGGTTTGCGACACCCCTCATCCCCGTCCGGATCCCCCCTATCTTCAGCTGCCCCAACAGGGCAGCCTTAGCCTCCAAATCCGTCAGGATCGGAGGCACCAAGGCGGCTAGCACAGCAGGGATCGCAGAGAAGGCGAATCCCTGCTGTCACCGAAGCCGACAAACCGGAAGTGATGAGGGTATTGTTTTCTGTTTGACTGTTTGACTGGTATTAATCCCTGCTTATCTGGATATTGGCTTCTTGTTTCCCTTCTTGCGTTTTATTGCCCATTTTGAATGTTGTGTAAATGTGGTTTGTCTTTCTTTGTGTCTGTAGAGGCTGATTTGTCTGAATGCCACGCTTCTGGGAATTCCCTAGAGTTTTTGGATTTAGCTTGGTCTAGGACAGGGGTGTCAAAACTCAAGGCCTGCGGGCCAGATGCAGCCCATGGGGTGCTTAGATCTGGCCCGTGGGCCCACTCTGGAAAAAGCAAAGAACTGGCCCACGGTGCCTCTGCCAGTGAAAATGGAGTTTGGGAGGCTGTGCATAGTCTCCCCAAACTCCCATTTTCCCTGGCAGAGGGCTGCAGAAGGCTGTTGTAGCCAAAACTAGAGCCCAGATGTGCCATCATAGCCGGAAATGAAGCCTCAATGAGTGATGTCGATCTGGCTGAGCCCTTCCCCCCCCGTCCATGCCCGACCCCCCGAAGTCAAATACAACACCCCTGTTCTAGGATCAATAAGATTCTCTTTCTTCTTACAATGTGTTGATCAAGTTTGTAGAGGAAATTCAGGAAATTTAAATGAAAAATTAGCAGAAGAATACTAGTTATTTTCCTTTTAAAGTGCTGAGTTCTTTCTTCCTGTCTGTCTTTCATTCTTTTCTTTCATGCCTTTCCTCAATATTGAGCTTAAGTATTATTTGCCCATCTTTAAACCAACCAATTGTTATTATAAAATTGGCTGCCTTCATTGTCCTCCCTCCTTAGATCTGTGCTAAGTCACTGCTAGATGCTCTTCCCTTGCTTGTGAGTCTGTCAGTAGATTCCTTTATCTAATTGCTTGTCAAAAGTAGATCCTGTCTCAATTTAAGTGGCTCAGCGGAACAAGCAATCCTCGCTTGTATCCATAATTCAGCTCAAAATTTCTGTTGCTAAGCAATATGATTGTTAAGTGAGTTGTGCTCCATTTTACATCTTTTTTGCCCTGGTTGTTAAGCAAAGCACTATAGTTGTTATGCGAATTGTGTGGTCGGTAAATGAATCCAATGTTTACCCATTGATTTTGCTTGTCAGAAGCCCCTAGGAAGGTTGCAAATGACTGCCCCAACGGATGTTGCAACCATTGCAAAAAAAGGCCGGTTGCCAAGCACCTGAAGTTCAATCGCATGATTGTGAGGATGCTACCACAGTCATAAGTATGAGGACGGGTCATAAGTCACCTTTTTCAGTGTTGTCATAACTTTGAAGAGTCATGAAAGGAATGGTTGTAAGTTGAGGACTTCCTGTATACACTGTGTGCACAATTATTAGGCAAGCTGTATTTGGGAGGATTAATTTTATTATTGAACAACTATAGTGCTCTTGGTCAATCCAAAATGTTAATAAACCTCAAACCTGAATATTTAAAAAAAGTAAAAGTGAGGTTATAGATTTCTTAGGAGAATATCTATATGTGCACAAGTATTGGGCAACTATTAGTGTGCAAAATTTTTTATTTTTTTATTTATTTTTTATTAACTAAATAAAAAATGAAAATTTTCCCATTTTACTCATTTATTTTCATCTGTTAAAATGAGAATAATAAACAAACAACTCAAAATTTACAAATAAACATTTCTGACAATTCAGAAAAAATCAATGACCAATATAGCCACCCTTCTTTTCAATAACAGTCATAAGACTTGCATTCATTGAGTTTGTCAGTTTCTTGATCTATTGACGATCAACTTTTTGTGCAACAGCAACCACAGCCTCCCAGATACTGTTCAGAGAGGTGTACTGTTTTCCTTCACTGTAAATCTCCTCTTTAAGAAGGCCCTACAAGTTCTCAATAAGGTTTAGGGTCAATAGGGTAAAGTGAGGAAGGGGGCCATGTCATTATTTTTTCATCTTTTAGGCCTCTTTACTGGCTAGTCACCCAGTGGAGTACTTCAATGCATGCAATGGAGCATTGTCCTGCATAAAAACCAGGATCTTCTTGAAAGATGCAGACTTTTTCCTATATCCTATTCCTTCCTTCCTGCTTGAAGAAAGTCTCTGTCAGGCTACAGAACTTTCCCTATTCAATCAACTAGAATGAACTTCTGAAAACGTATCAAAAGGAATCCTTTATTGAGATGAGACAATTCATGTAGGGGTTAAAAGCAGCGTCTAAGGTCTCTCAGGCATGCAGAGATAGATAAGGGAGTTTAAAACCCCTCCCCTTATCTTGATATGTATTTAGTGAAACAAAGAGCCAACATGTTAATTCCCCGCCACCCCCTTTTTAGAATGATCTTTTCCAGGGTTTCCCAGGACATATCTCACTATGGAATTTTTATGTTCTCTTCATCTCCTGGCTGTCTCTCTCAGAGGTGATATGTTCCGGCCATCTAGGTTTCATCCCTCCATTGTATCATGTGTAGGTTATACAAATTCGATATAAGATTAAATATATTCAGGTTACATCAAGAAGGATTTCTTTATCAGTCTTCCCCCCCCCCCCTTTTCTTCTTCCATTGAAGAAATGA